GTTTTTATAGCCGAAAAACACCTAAAAATGGCGAAAAATCGAGTTTTCTGCAGGCTGGTCACCTCTGTCTTGAACAAGGGGGGCTGACTCTCCCGAACCGTGTACGAAGTATTATATATTATAGGTATTATAGAGTATTATAGGTATTATTCCGAACATTTTATTTAGATAATTGTGTCGTTTTAAGTGGTTTTCCGTGTACCAAAGGTTTCCGAAATACGCAAGTTAGTTGAAAACAAGGATTCCGGCTTGCGCTCCTGAGCCTCAAAATACTACCGCGCATCTTTAAGAACCTCAGCACCTTGTCATCAGCCTTAGCGCCATTTTCTTACTCTAACGATCCGTCTAAAAATCGCTGAACGCCTGTTCACCACAATTTTACAAAACTTTCTCATTTTGAACCCGAAACTGCACTAAATGTGCGGCATTTTTTGGTATTATGGATTATAGTATTATAGGTATTATACAAGTATTATAGGTCTGTGTACGAAGTATTATAGGAGTCAGCCCCCCTTGGTCTTGAAGGAGGGGGGGTCTGGGGGGCGGGGCCCCCCAGCCTCGACAAGTTAAACAGTTACAAGGGTCAAGATCGTGTTATCTGTAGATGAAGCAACTCTATCTAGAATGAAGGGGGGTCTGGAGCCCCTAGCATGCAACAAGGTAGAAGTAGCCGACGATTGACAAGCAAATGCCTGCCGAAGGCAGGCTAGCGCCGCAGGCCAAGGTAGGTACGCCAGGCGCGGATTGGAGGAACAGGCAGCGAGACATCGCGAAGCCTGATACGACAAGACGCGGTCTGGCGTAAACCTACCTTGTTAAAGTTACAGCCAAAATGGGCTCAAAAAGACTCTTCGACTAGGTTCAGGGCAGTGGCGCCAACAGGTGGGTGCAGGGTCTGCGGCCGCAGACCCTGTTTTGGGGTGGGTGGGTGGTCGCGATGGTGGGTGAGGGAGGGGGAAAGGCAAAGGGGAAAAGAGGAGGAAAGGAAAAAAAGAAGAAAAGGAGAAAGGGGAAGAGGAGTATTTCATGTGCGTCGTCCTAAGCGGCAATGGGTTAAGGGGTGAATGAGGGTGCCTGCTGGGTACGGTCCTTCAGATTCTCGTCCCATTCAAGTTTTGAAATAATATGGATTCGTTCGTTAGAATCTGGAGTTGGCCACCCTCAGCCGTGAACCTTGACACCAAAGTTCCCTTCAACTCTACTTGTGCACTGAAATCGAACGTGAGGTGAATTCACTAAATTGAGACCTAAAATGTGGTCACCTTATTCTCCACTGCCAATCCAAGTGCAGGACAAGTAGACACTTGTAGACGTAGACCAATCTGGCCTACGCTTGCAAGTGTCGACCAGTTGTGTTCGAAACTGAAGTGTCGACTGCTCTTCGGCAAATCACAAATTGTTTCCTGTGGAAGCACCTTCCACCTTCCAGCCGTCTGACACTGTGTGATCTACACTTACAATGCGTCGGACACAACTCGGTCGACGCTTGCGATTGGGATCCATAACTTATTTCTGAAGGGCATAAAAACGTTATCGTAAGCATTCAATGTGCAAAAACGCTCCGGAAAATTCTGTTTGCGTGTGGCCATTCTTCGTTGCCCTCTTGTCAATATTCTGTGCACGGTTAACAGATGTTGTGCAATGATGACTGTAATCCTCACGAATAACTTAGTAAAATGACAGAAGTTCATTGTAAATTTACAGATAAAATCGTAATTTCATAATTTTTTTCCATTATAATCATGTCTTCATTTCTTTTTTGTAAAATTACCAGGGACCCCTAACTCACCTCAAAAGTCCATCATAACGTTACCGTACGAGTTAAAGTTATTAGCCTTCACTTCTGAATTCTTTTCAAAAGGATAAGTTATATTTCTTGTGTCTCGAATTTCTGCGGAGATACTTTTGGAAGTACATGCAAAAGTCCGTACCCTTAACCTTTAACGAGCATACGTAGCAGTGTTAGTTAAATGTTAAGTTAAGGATCGCCGAAAATTACAAAGATACTTGTGAACTTGATTTTGATGTAACTAGTGAACAAAATAACCTCTCACATCGTGGAGTGAAACCATAAGAGATCTTGGTCGACCCACAATAAGTGTTGATCCTGGATAAGAAAAGATATATCATTTGAGCCCTTTTTCTTGAAATTTAAAACAAAATCTCAGTTTGTATTCAATTTTTTGAAATTTGAGAACATTGATTTTGCCGTGAGGGGATGGATCTGATGATTTTAAAAGGTAATTTTGGTTGGATAGTTTAAAAATTTTACACCAATTTCCCTCATAGCTGCTTGTGGTCGTGGTCCCGTGTCCTGGCAACACGCGGCGTTGGCCTGGACAGCGCGTCAAGCAGGGCGCTTCTTCGGATAATAAGACGCTTATTGCGTGGTCAAGACCATCTTTTTTGGCCCGTCCCGTTTATTTTTTGTAAAAAAATGACGGAGGGACGGGCATATAGTATGATCCTTGCTGTGCGTCCGTTCGTTCGTCCGTCCGTCCGTCCGTCCGTCCGTCCGTCCGAGGACTTCCCGTGGTCCGATCTTGACCAAATTTGGTATGCAGCCTCCTTGGGTGACCCTAAGAACCGCCCGGTGGCAGCAAATCCGGTCCGAGCCCCGGGGACGCTGCTGCAGGTGCACCATGGTCTACATGGGGTCGAGGAGGATCTCGGCAACGGATGCAGCTAGGAGGGCATGTAGGGGTATTTTTGGAATCGGGGCGACGAGAGAAAACCAATGGTACCAGTTTCGAGCGAATCGGAGAAGTTCGGACCCGGGTTCAAATCCCAGCGGGGTATTTTTGGAACATTCTTTTTATTCGAGTTTTTGCATTGTTTCTGATGTTTTTGAGGTTGCTGATGACGAAAACGACATTTATTTAAACCCCAGACTCAGGTTTAATTCCCGTAAGGGTCAAACATAGGCAAAATTCGTACGTTTCTTAATGTAACACGGGACGGGCCAAAGTTGCCGATGTATATCGCTACTTTTCCTGTTATTTCTTGAGGTGGGAGGGTCTGACCACTTGCTGTGGTATTTACCAAGATTTTAATGTGGTATTGGCCGCATTTCCACGTGTGGTCAATTCGGGTAACCGCATCTTAGGGCCTCCCGCACAATTTCTAAAGTCTGTTCCACACTTCGAAGAACATGCAGGACTTTGAAGTGTATAGAAGCTACAGCTTCCCTAGCACAGGGAGGCTCCTAACTGCGGCTTCGATAAAAACGACCCAATGACGGACATGAAAAGGAGCTTTTGAATACGTTGGCATCATGCTCACTTAGCTCTTAACTTTTAGTAGAAGGTGTTGCGTTAGTTGAAGTAATTTCAAAAAGATTTGCACGGAGCATTGTGAAAGCGTTGGCTCTTAGCTCGCTTCGCTCGCAAAAGTAGTCTTAGCTGTAAAAGGCCGTCTAAAGTATCTCTTACGGAAAATACGCTTGCGAAAAAAAGAAAAGGGGGGGAGGTCTCGAGGGGTGGGTGGGTCCCTGTGAACACTCGCGCCCCCTGTTAAAATTTCTGTTGGCGCCACTGGTTCAGGGCATAGAATGTGAGTCCCCAATGAAAATTTTTTGGCTGAGCGATAGCGAAGCCTGTTACTCCAGTGGGGTTGAAAAGTTTTGTCTGTCGGTCTGTGTGTCTGTGTGTCCGCACTACTCCTCCTGAACGGCTCGGCTGATCTCGGTGAGATTTTGCACACTTCTTGGGTATGTCCTTGGCTCGGCACACGCGAAATTTCACCATCCTAGCTCAACTGGTTCAGTTTTTATTGGCGAAAAACACCTAAAAAACGGCGAAAAATAGAGATTTCTGCAGATAGACCACTTCTGTCTTGGAGAAAGGGGGGTCTGGGGGGCGGAGTCCCCCAGCCACGACAAGTTAAAAAGTGACAAGGGTCAAGATCGTGTTATCTGTAGATAAAACCACTCTATTTAGAATGTAGGGGGGTCCCAGCATTCAACAAGTTAAAAAATAACCGACGACGGAGACGCCATTGCCTGCCGAAGGCAGGCTAGCGCCGCAGGCCAAGGTAGGTACGCCAGGCGTGGATTGGAGGAGCAGGCAGCGAGACATCGCAAAGCCTGTTACGACAAGACGCGGTCTGGCGTAAACCTACCTTGTATTAATTACTTGGTAAGACATCAAATTTTTACCTTATTTTCACAATGGGACCTATTTAGGAGAAAATAGCATTTTCACCAGAACCTCCCCTTAAATGTTTTATTTTTGCCTGCTTCTTGTTGCCGGTATGGGAACTCAAGGACCATCACGGCCTTTTTGTTTGTGTGTTACAGAATCGAGTAAATTGGGAGGACAATCTTGTTCATTCCTTTCACTGGGGTGTAAGTTTTTTTTAAAAGATGAACTCGTGGTTTTAATGTTTTTAATATTTGAATTATTTGAAGATCATATCGTTTTCAGTGACACCAACTCAACAAATTGGGAGTGACGTAAGTAGTTACGAAACTCCCTCACCAATGAGGGGGATCGATTGGAGTAAAGAGTTAAACACTCATGAAAAAGGACTCGTCCTAGAACTTGAAAATGGTAAGTTGGGCGTAAGAAAAGGAGGAAAACCGTTTTTTTTTATAGTGCTGCTTTATATTTTACAGTTCAAATTTGATCTTACTACAGTTTTTTTCTGTTTAGAACTTGCGGCTAATAATGGAGAAAAAAAGAATAAAGCTCTAGGAATTGTTCCTCTTAGAAAGGAGCCAGTTGGTAAGTGTCTTTACCTTAGTACGCCTTTAATACCACTCGGTAGGTGAAGTGATTTTTAACGCTTTCTCATGCTTTGTTCACAGATCCGCAAGAACAGGACATGCCGCTTCCTTGTAACAAATTTACCTGCACTTTGTGCAAGAAGTTTTTTAAAACCAAGAGTGTGCTTACTCGTCATCTAAAAGCACACAACCAGGATTTACCTGAAAAAGTAAGTAATTGGCGAATTGGTTCGTGACTCCTGATATTTACTGATTTTACCGAATATAATGGGTCCTCTGATTTATTGATTGATTGATCCATTGTTTGCAGGTTGAAAAACAAAACAAAGATAAGTTAGTCAAGCTCACAAATGTTCAAAATTCAGAGCAGAACTTGCGCAAGTGTCCAATTCTTTTTATCAATCAAATAATCGTTTCTTTAATTTTTTTCAGTTCGACGTTTGCAATCGCAGCGGGCAAGGGCGCAACCCATACGCATATTGCCCATTATGCCGCTCAGGTGTGAGCAAAATTTCTCACATTAAGGAGTGTGCCAAAAACAACAAGGCAGTGGATGGCAAGAGAGCCGAGGCTTACGCGAAGGCGTTTTACACGGGGGGAATGCGGGAGCCCCTGCCAAACAACTTCAAGACGCAGCTCTTTGAAGCTGTGGGGCGGTCAAGGCAGGACTTCGACAATTTATTTGATAATATGTGTGCCGTACTTGGCGTTGGTCAGGATTCCCTAAACAACAGCATGCTCGTTTACAATATTGGGACACTTTTTAACAAGGATGAGGTAAACACTCCGTAGTTAGAAACTGAAGTTTTTTTAGACTAAAACTGACTACTGATGATATTTGTATTAATGTTTCAGCCTGTCCCCGTCAACGTCTCTAGGCGTGTGCTTCGTCAGGCTGAAGAGGAATTGAACGAAGAAGGGGTCGACGAAGAAGACGACATGGAGGACGTTCCGCTGGCAAAGCGCCAGCGAAATGCCCGCTAGACTTTCGCAAGTATGGGCCACGTGCCAGAATTATGCAAGCGATTCCAGAGCAACCAGTTCATCAATAAATCTAGCCCTTTTGAGGGCAAAGTTGTATCTGAAGTTGCAAAAATCTTAAACGTTTTTTGACAAGTAAAGCGAGAGACAGGTTCGTGTCAATCCTTGAAGGTATGCTGTTCTGATTTTCAGTGTGTAGGATACTACTGGTGTTTCTCAAATAATTTTACATATTTTTTGTTCCACCTGGGTGAAACGACTAAGAAATATAATTCGGCGGAACATTCTGGACAAAAAAGACAAAGTAGAAAAATTACGAAAATCTCAATTTTGAGCATAGGTATAGCTCTTAAACGGCACCCATACACAATATCATCTGTGGGCTTAAAAGCAAGCCTTTAGTGTCCCCTTTGTAGAAAAACAGGGAAAACTCGAAGTTTGGGCTGCGGGGTGGGTGCCGTATAACACCCCCCAAACTTCTACAAAAAAAAATTTTTCACTTTAGATGCGTTTTTGGGCACTTTCCCGTAGTGCTATCGTCAAACCGATGCCAGATTCGGATTCCTCACAGATTTTTACCTCTAACACCGATGTTGGTTCTACAGAATAATGTCAGTGGGACCTAGTAGGCCGATTTTATAGAAAACATGCAATTTCGCAAAAATGGTACAAGGAAAATTTAGAGAAAAAAAAGAATGGCCACTGCGCGGGAACGCGTGGGGCTAGGGGGCTTAAACTTTGTAGGCTTTTTCACCTCTATGGGGGCAACATTTGGTGCAAGTTTGGACCAGATCCGAGATGGCGAAATTCAGGCCATGTAAAAACCTGTGATTTTGACGCTATAGAAACTATGCTCCTCAAAAGTGGAAAACCCCCAAACGACCCTGGAAGGTACCGGCCAATCACTCTCCTGTCCGTCGTCAGCAAATTCTATGAACGGTGCATAATGCCTTACACCATCAATTTGGATTTAAGGCAGAGCATGGATGTGTACAACAGCTGACTGACTGACCTAACCGAAGCCCGCAACAAAAGGCAAACAAGCATCATCGTGAGTCTGGACATTGAGGCAGCCTTTGACAAGGTACCACACAGGGAACTAATCTACAAACTAATTGAAACCGGTCAGGCGGTCTGGCTGCTGCAGCTACTCACTGATTACTACAGCAACAGAACGTTCTCAGTCAGAGGCTTGGAAGAAATTTCGACCCCACAAGATATAGGAGCCGGCACTGCTCAAGGAGCGGTGATACCACTCCCCCCCCCCCCTCTCTACTCGCTCTACATGAAAATAAAATTGAACACCTACCAGGGCGCAGATGACACACTGTTTGGAAGAAAAACCATGGCAGTCAGTCCATCTCCATAATCTGTGTCAAGAGTTTGATACTTAAATGTATCAACTCATACTGGCAGACTGATGCAGCAAATGGTGGGTTAAAATCAATGCCAACAAAAGTAAGGCAATGATTATGAGGCCAAGAGCACAAAAAAAGAGACCTGTAAGACCAAACCTGGGATGGAACATGCTGCGTACAACAGCTGACTAGGCTCCTGACTGACCTAACCGAAGCCCGCAACAAAAGGCAAACAGGCATCATCGTGAGTCTGCAGACTCATGTCCATGGACAGTGAGGCAGCCTTTGACAAGGTACCACACAGGGAACTAATCTACAAACTAATTAATACCAGTCAAGCGGTCTGGCTGCTGCAGCTACTCACTGATTACTACAGCAACAGAACGTTCTCAGTCAAGAGTCTAGGAAGAAATTTCAACCCCACACGATATAGGAGCCGGCACTGCTCAAGGAGCGGTGATATCTCACCCCCCCCCCAATCACCAGCTGAAATCCTGGCTTTCAGTCAAACCCCATAATCTGTGTCAAGAGTTTGATACTTCAATGTATCAACTCATACTGGCAGACTGATGCAGCAAATGGCGGGTTAAAATCAATGCCGACAAAAGTAAGGCAACGTTTATGAGGCCAAGAGCACAAAAAAAGAGACCTGTAAGACCAAACCTGATGTCTGATGAAAAAATCATTCCATACGAACAAAAACTTAAATACCTTGGAGTTACTGTGGACACCGCTCTGAACTTCAAAAGTCATGTACTGGAAAAATCACTTAATGCCAACACCAAGAAAAAAGCCATCAACAAGTATGCTTACTCGAAGGAACTGGTAAAACCAGAAACCAAAATATATCTTTAAAAGGCTCTCATCGAATCAATGATGTCAAACGGCGTCCCCGCCTGCCAGACAGTCGGCAACAAGACCTTCGCCACCCTGGAAATACAGGAACGAAAATGGATGAGAGCGGTCGTAACCCCTCCTGAGAAGACACACAATAAATAACAGGAAAAGTAGCGATATACATCGGCAACTTTGGCCCGTCCCGTACATTAAGAAACGTACGAATTTCGCCTATGTTTGACCCTGACGAATTAACCTGAGTCTGGTAAATAAATGTCTTTTCGTCATCAGCACCTCGAAAACATCAAAAACAATGCAAAAACTCGAATAAACATGTTCAAAAAATCCCGCTGGGATTTGAACCCGGGTCCGAAGTTCTCCGATTCGCTCGAAACTGGCACCATTATTTTCTCTCTCGCCCCGATTCCAAAAATACCTACATGCCTCCTAGCTGCATCCGTTGCCGAAATCCTCCTCGACCCCATGAGACCATGATGCACCTGCAGCAGCGCCCCCAGGGCTCGGATCGGATTTGCTGCCACCGGGCGGTTCTTAGGGTCACCCAAGGAGGCTGCATACCAAATTTGTCAGATCGGACCACGGGAAGTCCTCGGACGGACGGACGAACGAACGGACGCACAGCAAGGATCTACTAATCCCTCCTCCGTCATTTTTTTACAAAAAATAAACGGGACGGGCCAAAAACTGTACGAGATGTGCCCCGGCATCTCTCTGGTCAGCACAGCCCAGAAGCTAAGACAAAGCTTCATCGCCGAAAACAATGGGCACAGGAATCCCTTCATAAAGGGAATTTTCTTCCCCAAGCCGAAAGGCCCTTTTCCATACCCCACCAGTGACATCCCACTGGGTATGAAGGTGCAGTCAACAGCACAGGTCGATGATCAGGCCGGCGTTAATCAGAGCGGGGTGGTGGGTGACACAAACCCTTCGGGGTGCGTGCCCGCCGAGGGGTGAATCACCCAGCGTTCTGGTGTACACATGAGTACATGAGTACGGGTGAGTACACCTTGCTTCACTGTTAAAAAATGGTTGTACAGAAACAATCAGATGAGTGAAAATTTAGGCGTTCCAAAACATAGAATTTCATCATGAACCATAGCGAAACAAATGTCGTTGAGTCTAGTATGCGACATTTTGTCGTTGAAGAACAAAATCTTGTTATCACTCTTTACGATACAATTTGTGTGGAAACAACATCTTTTGCAATAATCTGCTCAATTAAGCATATTATGAATAATCATCTATTTTGTTCTTCAAAGTCATAGAGAAATTATTATGGTTTAAAAAAACCATGTAAAATAAATTAGGCGACAAAAGTACTCTATGAATATTGTCGCAGACATTACAAAATTTCTTTTGGACTTTCAATACTTGGCGTTGATGTGTTATTGTTGGTGCGTTATTACAAGTTTGTCGTTGTGAAATCATCCCTTGGTTCCAATACGACTACGGTTTAACAAGCTATTCAGTCCACAACAAATCTTGTCGCTAAAAAAGTTAGCGATAAATGTGTCGCTAATTTACGACAAAATGTTTATCAGTGTTCACTCATAAATTTCACAATTTTAAACGGCTTTATTTGGGGTTTTGAACGGAACTCGACGTTAAATCGGTCGAAACATTAGAGAATTTCACGTTTTAAAAACTTAGGAGTACACTAAGTACGGGCAAATTTGTACACATGATTACACTAGTGATTCACCCCTCGGTGCCCGCTGTCCCAATCCAGGAGTCGGTGGAGAGACCTACCCATTCCCCAGCCCCGGCCATCAGCCCCCAGCCACCCGGTGATGACCCCTCCAGCCCTGCAATAACCGCCGCCAGGTCGTGGGGGCCGATGGGCTGGTTGGGTTTCGAATTTTCCGTCCTGCACAAATCAAGAGTCCCGAATGAGCCGAACGACGCCTGTCACACTGAAGTCCACGCTGTGACAGGAAGTACGGGAAGTGCGAGTTAAAAAAAATAGGGTGGGGTTGGAAAGTTATTTCTGTCTGTACGTAGATCACGCCCAGTCCTTCGATTTGCCCAGAAAAGCAGGCTGCCGAAGGCTGGCTAGCGCCGCAGGTGCATACGCCAGGCGTGGATTGTCGAAACTGGCGCAGCATCGCGAAGCCTGTTACGACAAGACACGGTCTGGCGTACACCTACCTTGTATTGTGTAAATTAGGCAGCCCGAACCGGGTGAACTGTCTGATTTTCACGTAGTTGCCTGGGGTGCACCCCTGCCTCCATTGTACTGCCTCAAATGTCTTTGCTGTGGTAGGCTGTATTTCCCCTCATCCTATCAAGTTCAAATCCAAATAAGTGTTTGGACATGTAATGATCTGGATATAAATTAGCTTAATTTTCAATTCCAGCTTATAAAATTTCAGCCCAAAATTTGATCTTGTGGAGTTTTAAGCTCTATAAAGGTGACAGTTTTTCCTCTAATTACAGGTAGAAATGTTGAGCCAACAGAGAAGGACTTTTCTGTAAGTTAGCAACCAATTTGACCACCTATTGCCACCAACTGTGAATTCCAGGGATCCTTCACTAACCTTAAAAGGCCATCATAACGTTATTGTACGAGTTAAAGTTCTAACCCTTCACTTCTGAAATCTTTATAAAAGGATAAGTTATTTTTCTTGTGTCCAGGGGGAGTGACTTTGTGGAGAGATACTTTTGAAAGGACTTGCAAAAGTCCTTGCCCTACCTAAAGTTAAAGATCCCTGGCGAATTGTGACTTATTCCTAATTTACCCCAGTCTCTCTTTACTTCCAGGTCTGTTCATTCGAAGGCATGGGAAGG